CACACACACACACACTTACTTTAACTTTGAAATAGCCTAAACAGGGAGTAGAGTTGTGGCTCAAGTGGTAGAACGCTAGCCTTGAGCCTTTGAAGTGCTCAGGGACAGTCCCCAGGCCAAGAGTTCAAACCCCACAACAACACGCAAAAAAAAGTTCAACAAAATGCTGAAACAAGGATACAAGTTGACCCGTTGTAAGATTGAGACATACAAGATACTATGTTGAAAATAAACTTTACAACTTGGGGGAGGGGGAGGAGTTGGGGAGGTAGGGAGGGAAGGGATAGTAGGGGAAAAAACAAAGGAGGGGTAACAATGCTCAATAAGAAATGTACTCATTACTCATGTAACTGTAACCCCTCTGTACAGTACCTTTACAATCAAAAAAAATTTCTTCTCTCCTTTTGGGGACTAGAAATGCACCTTAGTGGTAGAGTACTTGCCTAGCACATATGAAGCCCTGGATTCAGTTCCTCAGTACCACATAAACAGAAAAAGCCGGAAATGGAGCTATGACTCAAGTGGTAAGAGTGCTAGCCTTGAGCAAAAAGAAGCTCAAGGACAGTGCCCAGGACCTGAGTTCAAGCTTCATGACTGACCAAAAAAAAAAAAAGAAAGAAAGAAATAGTCCAAACAATAAATGGAACAGAAAGGAAAAAAACAAATTTACTAGGCAATAATAAATGAATATTTAATTTTTAAAAATAGAGATATATATTATGTTCTTTGATAGGCAAACTAAATATTACAAAGATAGCAATCCCCAAATTAATTTTCAAAAAGTTTATGAAAGTCCCTAAATAGAAATAATACATTGCTAGCAGTGTAAAGTTGGTAAAATGAGCTTTCAAAATGCCACAGTAAAATTGTCCAGGTTAGAAAAAGTTTTATGAACAAGATGCTCAATCCGCTTTTTTAGGTACTACATGAAAATTGTTCTAGGATCTAAAGGTCATTCCTCAACTCTTCTCAGCCTCTTTACTCACCTAGTTTCCAGGATGGCCTAAACTCTGCAATCCCCTTTTATGAGTCACTGACTTTGGCTCTTTGGAGAAAAGTGAGGAAATCTAAACTCAATCAATGGAAGGATTGTTCCCACAATTTAGAAATAACCCTGTGACACACTGGGAAGTGTTCGCTAGTGGTTGGGTATATGATTTGGCAGTGGTTATTTCTTGGAGAGTGTATCCTGTATTGGTATTGGAAGCATGTTTTGTTGCGTTTTCAGAGTTTGTGGTACCTCAGAACAGAAATGATAATAAAGCTAACCTGTAGCTTTCTAAAGATTACAGAGCAGAAAGTGAATTGAAGAATAGTGGAATACACACTTGCCTGGCTCAAAAAAATTTTTCTACTTACTTTTTAAAGGAAAATTTATTTTTCTGCTTACTTTCTGCATTTTGGCACAGGGTAATATGCATAATAATTTTAAAATACATTATATAGTACACTGCTTGCATCCATAAAACTATCACAGTGAAACCCCCTCATAAATGTATGCTGACTCAAAAATGAAAAGGTTAACAGATAAGTTGATGTTAGGGAAATGAACCCTAAGATATGTATTCAAATGTTTTTTTCTTTCAGGTGATTGTTTCTAACACATTTATAAGATTATTTCTTTATTGCTTTGTATGTCCCTCCCCCACGGTATAACCCCTGCTTTCACTGTATTTGAGGTTGGTATAATTTGTAGAGGGGAAGGGAAAAAACAAATTTGTTTAAATAGGGATACAGGTGGACCCATTGCAACAATGAGATGTACAAGTCATTATGTGGAAAAAAGAACTTTACAACTTTGGTGGGGGAGGGGGAGGAGGATTGGGTGGGGTGGTAGGGGGAGGATGGGAAGGGGAAACAAAAGAGGAGGCTACAATGCTTGATAAGAAATGTACTCATTATCTTGCCCCATGTAATTGTAACCCCTCTGTACAGTATTTTCACAATAAAAAATAAAAAAAAGAAAGCAAAAATCCACAAGAATGTGGGGCAAAGGGAACTGATATATACTGTTGCTGAAAATGTAAATTGATGCCAACGCTATGGAAATCTGTATAACAGAAAAGAACCTACAGTAAAAAATCAGAAGTAGGGAGCTGGGCTCTAGTTGCTCATGCCTGTAATCCTAGCTACTCAGGAGGCTGAGATCTGAGGATCACGTTTTGAAGCAATCCTGGGCAGGAAAATCTATGAGACTCTTATCCCCAGTTAACTACCAGAAAACCCGAAGTGGTGCTGTGGCTCAAAGTGGTAAAGTGCTAGCCTTGGGCTGAAGAGCTCAGGGACAGCGTCCAGGCCCTGAGTTCAAGCCCCACAACTGACAAAGAAGAATAAAATTACGTTTTGGCAAGAAAATGGATAGAACTAGAGATCATAATGTAAAGCAAAATAAGCCAGACTTAAAGACAAACGTTACATCTTCTTTGTTATACATGGACTCTGGTCCTTAAAAATGAGTGATGAGGACGTGGCGCTGTGGCTCAAGTGGTAGAACACTAGCCTTGAACTGAAGAGCTGAGGGACAGTGTTCAGGCCCAGAGTTCAAGCCCCACAACTGACCAAGAAAAAAAATGAGTGATATGAATATGAAACAAGTTCTATTTAGGACTAGGTACCAGCTGGAGGCAGGACAGCAAAGGGAGAAGGTGTAGATACAGTATGTTATACACCAAATGAGTATGAAAATAAAGAAACCTATTGGAATTGTTTTAAGAAAGTTAAGTGGGACTAGGAGGAGCAAGAGGGTAGTATGATCAGGATACATTGTGTGCATCACAGTGAAACTCCTTTGTACAACTAATGTAAATAAAAAATGGAAAACTTAAGACAATATGCACTTTCTTTTTTTCTTTTTTCTTTCTTTTTTGTTGTTGTTGGTGGTGGTGGTCCTGGGCCTTGAACTCTGGGTTTGGGCGCTGTCCCTCAGCTCTTCAGCTCAAGGAGAGCACTCTACCACTTAAGCTACAGGGCCACTTTCGGTTTTCTGGTAGTTTATTGGAGATAAGAGTTTCATGGACTTCTCTGCCGTGGCTGGCTTTGAACCCGATCCTCAGATCTCAGCCTCCTGAGTAGCTAGGATTACAGGCGTGAGCCACCAGTGCCCGGCTAATATACACTTTCTTAAACTACTGACTCCTTCTCTCCAGAATGAAGCACTGTTATCAGAGTTCTAAAGGATCATGGTCTTGCTCCTGGTGTTTAAAAACCACCCTAGTTTCTATCTTCAGTATAGCCTCTTTCTAAAATGGCATAGTTACTTTTCTTGTAGTCCTGCATTTTTCTTACATCAAAGGCAGCATGTATATGTTTATGTATTAATGACAGAGAAGTAACGGCAGTCTTTACCTTAGTAGCATGTGAAGTATAAAAATCTTTGGGGCCCATAAATGCTAGTTAAGTGTAGGAAGGTATGAGTTCCATGAGTTCCAAACCAGTGTATGTATGCAGGCCCACAGGTAAAGCCCCAGTGGGAGGCAGGTAAGTGCCTACGTGGTGGGGGCAGTGTCATGTGGCCAGCATGTGTTTTTTCAGGAGCAAGTAGCCTCTACTCAGGGTCACCATCATCGTGTTGGAATTTAGACTAGTTTTGCTAGATTGCCTGTTTTTTTTTTCAAAAGAAGCCAAAAATTTGAATTTTTTAAATGTAAAATCTCTTCATTTTGTTTCTTTTTAGAAACACTAAGAAATCTTTAAAAATTAAACCCTGAAAGTGGTGCTCAAACTGCCAGATTGCATCTTCTTTAATTATTATACTTACATAGCATTTAAAAAAATAAAAAATCATTTTTTCGCATTTTCTGTATATTCTTGGTGGAGAGGATGGACAATAATTCATTGATTCAACAAAGAAGTATCATCAGTTTGTCACATAAACATCTATGCTGTTTCCGCTACACGTTTTCAGTCGGCTTTATGAACCTGACAGGCTTAAACAACTGGTTTTTCCCCATCTCCTCCACAAGTTATACTGACATCAAATATAGTGAAAGCAGGGGTTATATTGTGGGGGAAGGACATACAAAGCAACAAAGAGATAATCTTATAAATGCGTTAGAAACACATGCATGAAAGAAAAAAAACATTAAAATACATATCTAAAGGTTCATTTTCCTGACATCACATTATCTGACCTTTTCCGCTTGACTCATACATATACTAGATATTGCATATAAGGGAAACCATGGGACCTATGTTTCTTTGGGCCTGGCTTACTTCACTTAATATAATTTTTTCCAAGTTTTTCCATTTCCTAACAAATGGGGCAATGTCATTCTTTCTGATGGAGGCATAGAATTCCATTGTGTATATATACCACATTTTCTTGATCCATTCATCTACTGAGGGGCATCTGGGTTGCTTCCATATCTTAGCTATGGTAAAGCTACTCTTATTCCAAACCGTAACTGTGAAGTTGGTCTCTTTTTGTTTGGTTGGTCTTTTTTGTTGTTGTTTTTGTTTGTTCGTTTATATGTTTGTTATTGTTTTTGTTTGTTGTTTTTTACCAGTCCTGGGGCTCTGAGCCTGGGTTGCTATCCCTGAGCTCCTTTTGCTCAAGATAAGCTCTACTACTTCAGCCACAGTTCCACTTCTGGTTTTTTTTATGATTAATTGGAGATAAGAGTCACAGATTTGCCTACTCAAACCACAATCCTCAGATCTCAGGCTCCTGAATAAATTAGGATTACAGGCATGAGCCCCTGACACCCAGCTAGTTGATGTCCTTGAGTAGTGTCCATTAGTTGTCCTCAGTCCCCTGTGCCATACTACAAAGAGAAGAATGCAAAAGAAATTTTGGTGGCATCTTCCTTTTCCAGCTGCCAGTGGTTAAACCAGAGTGCTTTTGGAGGAAAAACACTGTCTTTTCTTCCTTGGAGTTGCTGAGAAATTATAATTAGAGGTTTTCCTGTTGTGTAAAGGGAAGGAATTCCTTTCCTTTCCCACATTTGCAGTACTTCTGCTCTCAACGATTGTGCTTGTCTGTCCCATTTCTCCTTCTCCAGGTGATAGAGGGAAAGCTGGCTCCATTCTTGGGCAAGGTCATTAAATTCGCCACGGCACACGTGTACAGCTGCAGTCTTTGTAGCCAGAAGGGATTCATCTGCGAAATCTGTAACAATGGAGAGATCCTTTACCCTTTTGAGGACATATCAACAAGCAGGTACAGAATATATCTTATCTTACAAAAGAACACCTGGCTTTCATTTGGCCATATGAGGCCAACTTTTTAGTCAAGTACTATATCTCTGTCTCTTACACTGGATCAGATTTTTCTTGTTCTGAGAGCTTTTCACCCTTTGATTTTCTATATTTATTTCTAATCTTTATTCTCCTGCCTTTGTCCAGAATGAGACCAAAACAAAAAAAAAAAAATTGCCCAACTCTGCCTTAGCAGGTAAGAGGGTATTGAGATCCTGTGATAGAATGAAGATCGGGGATGAAGAACCAACCCTGCCTGGCTTTTCAGAGCCAAGAGACAGGCAACAAATGGGAAATTGCCTTCTCAGAGGAATGCCAACACTGGATCAACTGCAAGGAAGACTAGAGGCCCCTGGTGGACAGCTGCCTGCTCACCACAGGCTCTTGTCCGCAGAGTAGCTGCACTAAGGTGATGAAAGTTTTAGGACCCAAAGGAGAGAAAAGTGGGAGTTTATGTGGGATTAGTTTTCTAACCAAAGTTAATATGAGGGCATCAACATCTTCGTTGATGGATGACTTTTCCTCCACTAATATGCAATCCAGGTTTTTTACTGTTGCTTTTCTTAAATCATAAAATAATACATACCACTTTTCCTTTCATCCCCAGAGCATAATGGATATATACACTCTGTGTGTGTATGTGTGCGCGTGCGTGCGTGCGTGTGCATGCTCACACAGCCTCTTTACCCGTGAATGCGATAGCTCATTTCTACCCAGCAGGGCTCACTTATACTGTGGGTTCAGAATGGAAGGTACGACACATGGCCAGGGAAAGTTGAAACATGTCAGGTAGAGCTAAGATGGTAAGACTTGACTCAGCCCTTTTGGCCTCTTTTTAAGCCCAAAGACTATTTGTAAACATTTAGAAACTTGTTTTAGCCCCACTTCCAGAAAGACAGATACATACATGCATACATACATAGACACATGCGTGCACATACACACACACACACACACACACACAGAGTCCAGCTCCAGTTTTCGGTACTTAGCTCATAGCCTATGTTTAGATAACTTTTAAAAATGTGGACCACACAAAAACTTGTACATAAATGTTGACAGCAGCAATATTTTTATTATATATATATCTATATATATATATCTATATATAGATATATTTTTTTTTTTTGGTCATTCATGGGGCTTGAACTCTGGGCTTGGGTGTTGTCCCTGGGCTCTTCAGCTCAAGGCAAGTGCTCTACCGCTTGAGCCACAGTGCCACTTCCGATTTTCTAGTGGTTTATTGGAGATAGGAGTCTCACGGGCTTTCCTGCCTGGGCTGGATTTGAACCATGATCCTCAGATCTCAGCCTCCTGAATATCAGCTAGGATTACAGGCGTGAGCCACCAGTGCCTGGCAGCAATACTTTTAATATCACCTGGCAGCAATACTTTTATTTTTATTTTTGGGGGGGATCCAGTCATGGGGCCTGAACTCTTGGCCTGGGCGCTATCCCTCAGCTCTTCAGCTCAAGGCTAGTGCTCTACCACTTGAGCCACAGTGCCACTTCCGGCTTTTTTCTTTTTTGCTTATGTGGTACTGAGGAATCGAACCCAGGGCCTCATGCATGCAAGGCAAGCACTCTACCACTGAGCCACCTTCCCAGCCCAAGCAATACTTTTAATATCTACAAAATAGAGACAATCAAAATGTCTTCTAACTAATGAATGAATAAACAAAATGTAACATATTCAAACAACAAAATATTATTTAGCCTAAAAAAGAAATTTACATACCACAACATGGAATAACCCCCAAAATAACATGACTGTTAATTGAAAGAAGCTAGATACAGGGGTGGGAATATGGCTCAGCGGTAGAGTGCTTGCCTAGCCTGCATGAAGCCCTGGGTTCGATTCCTCAGTAACACACACACACACACACACACAGAAGTGGTGTTGTGGCTCTGGCTCAGCGGTAGAGTGCTTGGCTAGCCTGCATGAAGCCCTGGGTTCGATTCCTCAGTACCACATACACACACACACACTCACAGAAGTGGTGCTGTGGCTCAAGTGGTAGAGCTCTAACCTTAAGCAAAAGAAGCTCAGGGACAGTGCCCAGGCTCTTGAGTTCAAGCCCCAGGACTGGCAAAAATAAAAAGGCTAGATACCTATGAAATGTCTAAAAGCAATGAATCCATAGAGACCCATGGTCTGGAGAAGAGGGGAAGGGGGTAATTCTGATGAGCACAGGGTTGTCTTTGATGACAAAATGTTCTGGAATTAAATTGTGGTGATGGTTGTATAATCTGGTGACTACACCAAAAATCAGTAAACTCTACTTTAAAAGGGAGAATTTTAGGATATGTGAGTTATATTGTAATAAAAATTAAAAATGTGAAATGCTTCCAACTGAATAAGTTATATTTTGGGCCACAGAACAAATCTCAGTAAACTTAAAAGACTGAAAGTGTACCAAGTATGTTGTCTAACACAGAAGATTAAAGAGCCACAGTAAAAAAAAATCTGGGAAACAATAAAATAAGCAGAAATTAAACAGTATACTTTTAAACATGTCATGGGTTAAAGAAGAAACCACAAGGAAACTTTTGAAATAATTTGAAATGGATGAAATAGAGTATCAAAATATATGGAATATAGCAAAAGTAGTGTTAAGAATGACATTTAGAGCTATAAATGCCTATGTCCAGAAAAAAAAATCTCAAATCAGTAACCTAAAATTCCACCTCAAGAAACTAGATGACACTGAGCGTGGTGGTGCATACCTGTAATCCTAGCTACTCAGTGGGCCGAGATGGGAGGATGTCAGACTGAGGCCAGCCCAGGCAAAAGCACAAGACCTTATCCAGAAGAAAACTAAACTAAAAACAAAAGAGCTGGGGGAATAACTCAAATAGTAGAGCACAAATTCAATCACCAGTATGGAACAAAATAAAAATTTTAAAAAGCTAGGTAAAGAAGAGCCTATACTAAAACAAAGGTGCAATGCTTGTATGCGTCTGATCATATAAAATAATAATTATCAAAATGAACTCCAGGAAATGGAAACAAGAAGTTTTTTTTTTTCTCTGTTACTGATTTTTTCTTTTCTTTTTGTCTTGTTTGTTCATTTATCTATATTTGGGAGGGTCAGGAGGAAGGGCACAGAAATTGGAGGGACAAAGGGTAAACAAATGTAGCAGTGGTACTTATTACTAGACACTATGTTGAAAATGAATTAAACAACTTGTGGGTGAGGATGAGAGGGAAAAATTAGGAGAGAGTAAGGGAAGGGGTAACATTATCTAAAAAGAAATGTACTCATTATTTGACCTAGGTAACTCTTAACCCTCTGTATATCACTTTTATAATAACAATAAAAATTAAAATTAAGGAAAGTGGTTTAAAAAAAAAGAGCCTACTTAATCCAAAACAAACAGAAGGCAGGAGGCTAAAAGAGTTCAGGTATCAATGAAATAGAAAACAGAAAAACCAAAAATTTTTTAAGAAATCAACAAAATTAATATATTTTAGCTAACTTGACACAGAAAATAAGAGAAAAATACAAACTATCAAAAGCAGAAATGGGAAGGCACAGAAATTGAAAGAATTATGAAAGCTATTTAAAATCTTATGCCAACAAATCACACAACTTAGATGAACAAGTTTCTAGAAAGAAAAATTATCAAAACTGACTTAAGAAGAAATAGAAATTTGAACACACCTACACTAAGTTAAAAATATTAATTAATTAAAAAACTTGAGCTACTGTTTTAAAGCCTCCCACAGAGAGTCTAGATGACTTAACCTGTGAATTTTGTTGAGTATTTAAAGAAATAATAATCTTTCACAAAAAGATAAAAGGAGGGCTGGGAAGGTGGCTCAGTGGTAAAGCGCTTGCCTTGCATGCATGAGGCCCTGGGTTCGATTCCTCAGCACCACATAAGCAAAAAAGAAAAAAAAAGCCAGAAGTGGCTCTGTGGTAGAGCACTAACCTTGAGCTGAAGAGCTCAGGACAGTGCCTAGGCCCAGAGTTCAGGCCCCATGACCAGACCCCAAAAAGAAAAAGAAAAAAAAAGATAAAAGATAAAAGGAACAAGTCTCCAAAGAGGCTTTAACATCTTATACGTATATGAACAGAGTCATAATATACTGGCAGAGCCTCTGGGAGCAATAGACAAGTCCACTATGATTCTTCAAGACCTTAGCATCCCAGTATCCATACCTGACTGACACAGCAGTTAGAAATCAGTAAGCAGCCAGTTCCCCTGAATGGTACCATGAATGGTACATGAAACTAACATCTATACAGTGCTTTATCAGAGCCATCAGAGCACATACTCCACTCAAGCTCATGCGGATCATTTACCAAGAGATACCACATTCTAGTCTATAAAACATAGCTGAACAAGTTTGAAAGAATAGAAATCATGCAGAGGATGCTCTCAGACCATAATGAAGTTAAACTAGAAATAACAGATGCCTGGAAAACCCCAGAATATTTGGAGGTCAAACAGAATGCTTTTTAAGAACATAAATTGACAACTTATGACCATATAAAAATATATACTTGATATTTATAGATGCCTCATTCATAATTGCCAAAACTGGAAGCAGCCAAGATATCCTTCATTAGGTGCATGGGCAAACAAACTATGGTGTGTATCCATATGATGAAATACTATCCTACAGTAGAAGAAATAAGCTCTCAGACCACAGAAAAATCATGGGCAAAACCTAAATTCACATTGCTAAATGAGAAAAAGCATTTGGCAAAGGCAACATACCATCTGATTCCAATTTTATGACCTTCTAGATAGTATAGGCAGATAGTGAAAATATCACTCGTTCTCAAGGATTCTAGGACTGAAGACAGATGACTATATGAAACACTGATTTTAAGATGAAGTCAATAACTATCTTGTATATTCTGTAGAGTATCTATCTAATACTATAATTATATACATATCACATGGTATATTTGTCAGGACCACAGAATTGTACAACACAGAATGAACCTCA